TGTGCTTGAGGAGGGTGCCTTCTCTGCACCCGGCGGTGAAGTACTCGATAGCCTGCACCTCGTCCACACCCTCGCAGGAGTTCCGAAGCTCGCCCCATCGCGTGAGGTAGTCACGTGTCGACTCGTCTTGGCCTTGCACGCACAAGGAGAGTTGTCGTGGCTTGGGAGGCCGCTTGTACGTGCTGGTGAAGTTGCGGATGAAAGCTTCGGTGAAGTCGACCCAGCTGTTGATGCTGCGGGGCTTCAAACTGTTCAACCATGTCCGCGTTGTGCCCTGGAGCATTAGCGGAACGTACTTCACGGCAATACGCTTGTTGCCGTTTGCTATGTTGACGGCTGTGGAGTAGTCGACTAGCCAATCTTCTGGCTTCACGGAGCCGGTGTATTTGGGCGTGTTTCGGGGGAGTGTGAACCCTTTGGGGAAGGGCTCATCTCAGATGCGGGGCCCAAAGCAGGGTGGACCCAGCTCGTCTTCTTCTTCCAGCGCCAGGGGTCGGTGGAGTCGATCGATCCGGTGGCGAGCGTCGTTCTCTCCGACTCCCTCTCGACGGCCGAGGCGGTCGCCGAGAGTCGGATGCTCGATAGGCGGTGGGGAGACTCGTCTTTCCCTTCGTGGTGGGGGAGGCAGGTAGTCGCCCTGCCGCTGCACTGCTCTTGGGCGGCCGTCTTGGTCGCGCTCGATGGTGATGCGAGTCCGACTGTGGTTGATAGCTGGATCCTTCTCTTTTCTTCCGCGGACTCCGCCAGTCGGCGTCCGAGACGTCGCGCCTTGATCTCGGCGGGGAGGTAAGTCGTCATTTTGTCGCTGCGGCGCCTCCGTGCGGCAGCCGGCTTCGTTCTGTGCGGCAGCCGCTTTGAGGAGTCGCTGGACTCGCTCGGTCATTAGGCGGCGCTCTTCGCCTTCGAAGTTGTCCAGCTCATCTGCTGCCGCCTGGGCGGCACGGATGTTCTCCGCAGGCGTGGCATATACGGGGCGATCGGCCCCGAACAGGTTGGCGACGGCCGCGCCGCGTTGTCGGACCGTGCCTAGGCGGCTAGGCCCAGTCGGCGCTGGCGAGCCGCCCACAACGCGATCCATCTCATGCTGGTAGGCCTCCGACAAGCGTCTCATGCTTGCCAGCTTCTTCGCGCCTTCGACAAGCTGAAGGCGGCGTGCCTCCAGCATCTCGGCGTAAGCGTCCTCCAGAATGGGCGCCGTCAGGTCTCGCAGAGCCGCGTCGAGCGGGTCATGAGCTCCTTCACCGGAGTGCTCACCATGACTGATGACGAGCACTTCCGTGATGGCGCTTCCGTCGCTCGCCTCGCGAGGGAGCGGCTCATCATAGATCACCACGTTGGAGGGGAACGTGTCGAGCGACACGCCGTCGGAGTCGACCAGCATCGAGTCGGTGGAGCCTACGGACTCCAAGTCCACGGCAGGCTCGCCGGCGACGTGGAGATGGTCGAGGAGGCCCGCGAGGAGGCTTTCGGGGCCGCCCGTGCCCGCATTGGATGCAGGCTCGTCGGAGATGCTAACCTCGCCGAGGAGGTCAGCGAGGCAGCTCGCCGCGCAGGCGTCGTTGACGCTTTGCAGCGCCTCAGGGCAAGCGCCGTCGGGCGTGCCGGGCTGGCTACGCTCGCCGGGGAGGAAAAGGGTTTCCGTCCAAAGGAGGTCTCCGGACGACGGTGCACCTCGCCCCACGGTGGGCGCCAAATGTCAGGGGTTGGGTGCGACATATGCCAAAGGATGGCTTATCATGGTGGGAGCGAGTAGAACGTCGCCGGTGCCAGGAAACGGGATTAGGCGAAGGCATGCACGCCGGTGAATCTTACCCAGCTTCGGGGTTCTCCGGGGAGATAACACCCCTACTGCTGCTCTGCGGGGTCTCCGCATGATCACTAAGGCGTAGTGAGTACAAGGTTGCTCCTAGAGCTGTATTCTAGAGGTGGAAGGAGGCAAGGCTAGCCTTCTTCTTCCTATGTGGTCTGGTCTAAGGCTCATGGATCGAACCCTTTGCATGGGTGTCCCGGGGGGGTTATATAGGCCTACCCCCCGGGGGTACAATGGTAATCCGGCTGGGCGCGGGTCCCAGCCGTCTGTCTCACAGGTCGCCGTCTTCTCTGCCGACTGATGGGGCCCGCCGACTTGCGGGCCCCGCCGGCGAGTCCGGCACTGTAGTCGTGCTTCTGGTGACGCAGGCTTGGTCATTCGGTCGTGGCAACAGTGCCGCCGTCTATCGGGCGATCACTGTCGTTACTCCCCATCTTGTCTGGTTAATGGCACGTGGGACCCGTGGGAGAGGCTGGCCGACTCCGGGGAGCCAACTCCCACGGGGCCGCCTTCGGGGCGTATCCGCCGTCTTCTATGCTCCCACTGACTGGCGGGTCCGCCGTCCCCGAGCTGTATAGGCAGGCCATCGTGGCCACAGTGCGCTGCGCACTGTGGCTGAGGTCAGGTCTAGCATGGCTACAGTGCTGGGCCACGCCGGAGATCTCCGGCGGTACGGCGCACTGTAGCCATGCCGGCTCCTCGCAAGCAGGAGGTGACGGCCACGTCGTGGTCGTACCCGTCCCGTCTATTGTAATGAGTGTAGAGTCGTGGGCCGACTTTCCATAGCCGGCTCCTCCGGAAGTCGCCAGCCATGAGTCGGCTTATCTGGGAGTCGCCATCTGAGACGCGGCCCATCTGGGAGTCGTCATCTGAGACTCGGCCATCTGGGAGTCGTCATCTAAGACTCGGCTTATCTGAGAGTCGCCATCTGAGACTCGGCCCATCTGGGAGTCGTCATCTGAGACTCGGCCATCTGGGAGTCGTCATCTGAGACTCGGCTTTGAGGGGCGCGGCCTGCCCCGATGTCTTGAAAGGTTCTGGGGCTCGGGTCAGCCTACCCGTGGCACATTACTCCGACAGAAATGTCCCTGTTACATCTTGTGTTGTACTACTATAGTTTTAACTCTCCATTTTAGTGAAATTGCTCAGCGCAGGTTGCACCAAACAGTTCTGCATAGTAGCATGTGCACAATTCATTTTCTAGCGACCAATTCTTCGGCACGCATTAGGACCAGTGTAAAAATTAAGTATTTTGTAGCTGCAATATCTGTCTATTTTTATGTAAATATTTCAGACTGACCTCTTCCACTGGCATGGTGCCATATGCCGACAGTAGAACAAAGAATGTTTCAATATATAATTTTGCACCCTATGTTGTCATGTAGTTTAGCACCGTCAAACTGAATGGTTCAACCGTTTAAGAACATTTCCTCAAATCAGTTAGGCGGAAGAAAAAGACCCATTCCTCATGTTAGTCTTGGTTACCAAAACCATGTGCAGTAGAGAGCCCTCCTTCTGAGAGACTTGAGGAATAAAAGGTCTTGAGAAAAACTCTGAATTTCACTGCAGTCAAATAGTATAAGATTCTGCTAACTTATCAACTCTGATTATCAGATTTGTTTGCTTAGATTTTTCCTTCTCTTCTGTATTAAGAATGCTCATTTTTATTCTTCTTTAGGCTGTAATAACCTAAGTTGAAATTATCCATTTTTAGGCTGTAATAACTTAAATTCTTCTTTGCAGGTGGGTGATTGAGCCACCTCTGGAGGTCGTTGTTCTTGTTCCCGCCAAGCGCACACCATGGCTAGAAACTACCATGGATGTTTCATCGGAGATGTTAGACGCTAAGCAAGAGCAGGAGGACAGGCAGCTGCCAAGGACCAACAACAGGTCAGCTCGGCCCCGAAGCACCACCACGAAACGGAAGGGCGACGTCCACAACTGAGGCAGGATAAACAGACCATGTAATGTACATCTCACACCACCTTACACCCGCGGTATCTGCAATAGGAGGCATGTCCAGTCGATCTAGTGGGTATTGTATTTATTTTTTTGTTTCCTGATGTTTTGCTCTGGTGGTAACGACGACCCCCTCGTGCTGGGGATATGTCTTCTGCAGAAGACCGTCTCGTTATCTGTAGCTCTACCTGTTGTGCTGTAATATAACACCGCAGTTGATGTCCCAAGAAAATGGTGTCTGAATTCTGGATGACCTATACGCATGTCGACTCTGGAGTATCGTGTGATCAATGTTTTCAAGCACAGTTCCCCCTTTTATTGGGGCGTTGTACAACTTTTACTGGACCGTACTCCATCGGTAGTAGTTGGTGATCTAAATGCTCTCATATTTCTTTAGCCTCCGTCTAAGACGTTTTCTGGGCGGACATTATGGGATCGGAATCGGAGGGAGTAGAATTTTGGGAAAACCGTTGGCGTCCTTCTCCCTATGCAAAACATTGCTGCAGGTCGCCTCTGATTGCTTTGATATGCCTACTGTACACCTGCCTCCCACAAGCCAGATCGCGACCACGTGCTACGGGCTTGGTACTTTGGGTCACTTGGGGCGACCATTTCCACGAGGAGCTCCGTCCGTCCGCGTGAATGACGTGAGCTGTGTTGCGCAGGTCCCCCGCGTGTGGTTCGGTTCTCTGGGGGAGCGAGATCCTCCCGCCAGCAGCTTCCGATCGATGATGAGAGACTGCGTGGAGTGGTCAGCCGGTAGGAGCCAAGAACATGGATGCATTTCCTCGGCGCTTCCCCGGCCCCAACACGGTCTCCCGTGAGAAATCCCAAGCTGAAACCAGCTTCTGCAAAAGCTGGGGCCAAGAACAAGCGACGGTGCATTTCAACAGATAAAACGTGCACATACATTGTTCTTCCGTACATACACAGATAGATACAGCTATGACTGACCGAGGTTGAATCACAAGTGTTGAATCTAGAGCATGTGAAAACTTGTGTTAACATCGTACCTTTCTCTGGCCGACGGCTTCGTGTTAATATACTGGGGCGCAACTCACCGGATCGCGTACATAGTTAAGATTACAACTTGTGGTACAAGGGATAAGAAGATAGAGAGATAGAGTTGTTACAAAGATAAACTATATGCTAACAACCTGGCCTATCTACGCCGGACTACCCTTGGAACGCAAGTCTTCAACCTGTCACGACTAGGCAGATTATACGTTGCTTAACAGAGCATGCACAGGGTACAGAAAAGGCAGGCTGTGCAACATTGCGCGCATTCACAAAGGCATCTAGGGCATGGGTTGATGGCCTCATCAGCGTGAGCAGCAGCCATCTCTCCACTTTGCTCGAGCCGAATTCCATTAGACGTTGTTGATATGCCTCTATGTGAGTTTGCTTCAACCAAATGCCAGTATGCTCCTCCTCTTGAGAATGCGCTCGCCAAGGCTCTCTCCAAGTCCGGACAACCTCCGATATATATTCCCTCAAGGGTAAGGAGCTGCTGCAGGAGTCCATCCGTTAGCGTCTCTACCATTGGGCACTCAGAAATATTCAGCTCCTTGAGCGCAGTGGGTCTATACATTCCATCTGGAACTGCCGTCGTCAGGGCGTCGCACTTGGCCAGAAAAAGTCTTCTCAGATTTCTGGCGTTCCCAAGAATTGTTGGCACCGTTACCAGCTTGTGGCAATAAGCTATGTGCAATTCTTCAAGAGACACAGGCAACTTTGGCACTTCCATCATATTTTCACAGCTTACAATTGCAAGCTTTTTGAGTCGAGGAGGCAGGACATTTTCAGCATCGGATGTTGATGGAAGTGAGCCCGTTAAGTTCGAACAATTACTCAAGTGCAGAGATTGAAGATAATTCAAGTTTCTGAATTCCACTGTTGGCCATTGTACTATATTGCTGCAGCCTATAATCCACAGATCTTCAACAAAGACAAAACGATTCCATATATTTCGCTGTATTTGGGATGGTTCAAATGAGAAAAGACAGTTGCAGTCTATTATCTTCATCTTCTTAATAAATCTGCAAGGTATTCTCTTGAGTTCCTCTTCAAAGTGCTCTGCATGTTCCACGAGATCTTTTAATTTCAGTGACACATCAGAGTCACGAAACCTCGATAAATGGATGTCCCTCATCAGCCAACCAGCAGGTTCCACTTCAATGTAGCCTTTGCACTCAAGATTTGATTGCACACACTGATTCATCGTGTGGTAAAAGGGGATCTTTGTTGTCCACCTCACCTCTAGATCTTCAAGCAAAGGGAGCATCCTGGGCATGCTTGCTAACATTGGACACTCAGAAATCTTTAGCTTCTTGAGCTGAGGGAATGATATGACTGCTATGCTTGCTAACATTGGACACTCAGAAATCTTTAGCTTCTTGAGCTGAGGGAATGATATGACTGCTACTTGCCCTGTCGCCTCCTGGTGCCATCTCTCTAGCTTAGGCATGCTGGAAACTTTCATGGTTTCCAATTTAGGAAAGAGCGGTGGGGACATACATGATTCCCCATTGTCTGCAACATTACCAATGCATATACGTGTCAAGTCATGCAGACCATCCAAACTCAAGTACACGAGGGAGGGCAGCTGCCATAATGGTGGAAGATCCTTGATGTTCTTGCAGCTACTCAGAGAAAGTTCACTGAGATGTTCTAACAGTATAGAGTCATGCATCCACAATGATAATTGAGCACCAGTATAATTAGATAACTGTAAAACTTGAAGTCTTTTGGGAGGATGAAGGGCCTCTAATATTCCTTCTGCATTATGTACTTCATCTCCAACATGTGTGCTATAAGGTCCATACCAATCGAGTGATAGACATTTCAAATTATGCTTGGCAGAAATATTTCCTTCTTTAGCATTTTCTGCGCTGTGCACTTTTCTCAGCCCAATCAAAGAAAGAGCCCCACCAAGATTCAAATCTTTTAGTTGATCGATTCCACGACTTGTGTCACTATCAATGACATAATTGGTCAATGTCTGCAGATAACTTAGCTGACCAATACCCTTTGGCATGTGCTCCAAATAATAACACCCAATGAGGAAGATGTGCCGAAGATTGATCATGCATCTCATCCCTTCTGGTAATTTCTTGAGATTTTGACAACCAATGAGCTTTAGAGTTTGCAAGCTATACAACATGGAAGTGGCTTCTGGCAGGGCACGTATAAGAGAATAAGAACAATCTAGATAGCGAAGATGCTTCAAGTTTGTCATACGTGTCTTGATTGAGAAGGCCTTCAATGCTCGTAAGGACATGAATTTTGACTCTGCCATAATCAGAGGAGTCCCAAACCACTCCTCTTGGAATATTATTGTGCGGGGAGCTATAATATCCTTCATGGCTGCTCTAGTATTATTGATAGAAACAAGTGACAAATGTCGAACATCACGTAGTAATAAACTATCATGTGTGGATCCTTGCATACTTTCATTAGGTGAATACTTTTGAAGAATTGTGCAATCATTTTGGCTTACGGACTCAGCAAGATCATGCATGAGATCATGCATCTTGCATGCAGTTGGTCTGTGGATGTACTCATCTCGAAATCCTGAGAGCAGATTCTCTTGAGTTTTCACATCTTGGAGGAAACATCTCCAAACCAACACTTCAAAAATTTGTTGGCCCCTTGTTTCTGATGCAATAAAGTCATTGGCAAGCCATAATTGGATCAACATGTCTTTATCGAGCATGCTACCCTTCGGGAAAATAACACAGAAGGAAAAACATATTTTTGCTTCGGGTGACAAGTGATCGTAGCTTAGCTGTAATGCAGGTATAAACCCAGTTCTGAGGATCTCATTCTTCCAGACATCACTATCCAGAATAGAAAACCACTCATTGTGATGCTCCATACGAAGTAAAGCTGCAATGGTCTTGATAGCAAGAGGCAACCCCTTACACTTCTGGACAATGTTCCTAGCCATTAAAATCAGTTCATCTTGCTTTTCCACTTCCCCTACAAATGCATTCCTGTGGAAAAGCTCCCATGATTGATCCTCATTCAGAAGTGATATCTGATGTGAACGAATTGTTCCCATGACAGAAGCAACTTGGTTGCTGCGGCTTGTCACAATTATAGCACTACCTGAGCCAGCATCTGAGCATAGTAATAATCTCAGACCATCCCACTTTTGTCTATCTTCATTCCAAACATCGTCCATAACTAGGAGGTACCTTTTCTTGCCCAACACTTGGCTAAGTTTCTTTTGCAGTGCCTCCATCTCAATCAATTCACACTTCTTCATCGTGGCCACTTCTATAATAGATCGAATTATTTCTTCAACGACGAACTGGTCAGAGACACAGATCCATATGACCAAATCAAAATGATGCATCACTCTCTGATCATTGTGCACGAGTTGAGCAAGGGTGGTCTTGCCAATGCCCCCCATGCCAACTATTGGGAGGACCATGACATTATTGTTGTCACATTGGTACTCGAGCAATATCTTCACCACCTGTTCCTTCTCATGTAGTTTGCCTACAATCTCTGATTCATCAACACGAGAGTGTGTTTGCGGGTGAACAATGCTTGGTGTCTTGGTATGCGTAAGGAAGTGAAAATTGTTCATCTCCACAACCAGCTCATCTATCTTTTCAAGGACATCCTTCATCTTCCTACTCATGGAAAAACGGAAAACTATGGGACTATCAACGGTGAAGTAGCTTAGCACCTGAAATGAAAACAGGTAAAAAAAATTAAGGCGATGCGGGTGCGACATGGTTAGAAACTGCAATGCAGATTAGGCCCATGTAGAACGGTGTGGTGAGACAGAGTATATGTAACTTCTCTCTGACAAGGGAGTATGTAACTTGAAAGAAGAACAACACACCATACTTGCTTATGCAGTATTATGCTTTTAATTAATACCAAAATCGAAGGTACCCCATTGTATGAAGAACTATGAAGACATTCCATTGCAACATGCGCTTTGAATGAACATATATAGTGGCGGGTGGTGGTGGACTGTGGGAAGGTGGTCGACGACGAACCTTGCGCGTCGTGGGCATGGAGCGGCGGGTCTGTGCGCGGCGGCGCAGCGCCTCGTAGCGGAAGTTGTCGAGGACGTCGTCGGCCTGGTAGGCGGCCGTCTTGAGGTCGCTGACCCACTGGCGGACGGCGGGGTTGGTGCGGCTTTTCGCCTCGGCGTCCAGCAGGATGTGCTGGACGGCCGCGAGGTGGCGCTCCAGCTTCCGGTGGGCCGCGTCCAGCCCCCACGCCCGCAGCAGCTCACCCACCAGCACGTCGCCCACCTTGGCTGCCACGCTGCTCAGCAGCGGCATCAGCAAGGAGCCCATGCCGTCGGTCTGCTCCGGTGTCGGTGAGATCAATCGGCTCTCCGGTGTCGGTGAGGCAGGAGACGAGGACACCAAGAATGTGCGGAAGAACCAATATCAAAATCCACCTGAAGGAATCAGAAGGTGCACCGTGGTTGCAAGAGGATGCTTTGCTTGTGAGCGAGGAAAGGGAGATGCTTCGGCTAGCTTTTGCTCTTTGCTAGTCCCGTCTGCCTCACGCAACTGCACCAGGATAAAAAACAAAAAAGTATCACATTTCATCTTTGAAGTACTACTAGTCTACTAGTAATACACATGCTTTGAGGCCCGTGTGCTGGGGGTATCCAAGATGAATAAAAATAATGATGTGGATACCCTTTTTTCCTCTTGCAACTCAGAAGTTCCTTTGCAGTAAATGAGCAGGTTCTTCAGAAATTTACATTAAATCAGCATCGGTTTAATTAAAAAAATAGATGGCTGCGTACGAGGAGTTTTAATAGAGTGTGGCTAAGTCTTAGTCGACTGAGACTTAACCAAGTGATAAGTAATATGTAAGAAGAAAAAGAAAAACTGAAAATATTTTTTTTATACAAATCTCCATGCAAAATCAAAAAAAATAGCATCGACTGAGACATAACAAAGTCTCAGTCGACTGAGACTTAGCAAAACTGTTTCTTATAATGACATCGTTATTAGTTCAGTGCTCATTTGATCTTTGGTCCAAGAACAAGAGGCAAAGATGTTACGAGAAATTCCAATTTTTGGCCCAACAGGCAATCTTTTTACAGACAACAGTTCCCAAGAATACAACCAATGCTACTGTCAGCTTGTCGTCATGTTTACAAATGCTACTGATCAAAGCAGGCAAATCGATCCTAAACGCAAACAGGAAGTTCATACAAGAAAGAGCTGAGCTGAAAAGCAGTCTTCTGTAATGTGGCAAAAAGTATTTTCCGGTAAGGCAAAAATACATAGCTGAGCTGACATGTCTAATTGCTTACATTCAAAAGTTCCAAGAGAATACAGAAGAGAGAAAATCAGCTCTGATGTTCCATAAAGACATTGACTTGTATAGGTTAACTTCCCTGCACGGGTGTATACCCAACATGCTCGATTAGCTTTGGCTGGACACACTTACCCGTGTCATGCCCAGCCTCGGTTGATCAACACGCCGTAGTCCTATCTAAGCTCAACAGATAGGCCAGCATACCGGTCTACATCCTAAATGCGAAGGGGTCATGGGCCAATCGTCATTTGCAATCCTGCGCGTTGCAAGGCCGGCCGGGATCAGTCCTGGCTACCTCTTTATACAAAGTAGGTGCTAACGCGGACCACCAGGGCGCGTGGCGCTAAACCACTAACGTCAGAGAGCTTTCGAAAGAATCATACAATGCAGAGTGCCCATACTTATTCCCGCGTGGTGGTTAATGCGAAAAGGCCAGAGGCCTACTCGGATCATATATCCAAACCGTTAGTGTCTTGGGAGCGCGGGGAGACGATCAATGATCCATGATCTATGGTCCCGTCGCCCCGTCTCATGGACTTACAACAAGGACTAAGAATACCCGGCCATGCCGCATAATTATCTAACGGGTACCCTCCAGGTCAACCCGACGCCGCTTCACTTGTGGGTACCCTCACGGTCAACCCGACTTCACATTTCTCTCGCGGGTACCCCTTGGGGCCGACCCGAATTCAACATGGTTCTGGGGTAAAGTCAAAGTAACCGTGTGTCCATAAAACCGACGGGGGATCCAAGGAATCGCCCTCGATGGATTCCACTTGATGTAACCGTCAAGGTGAACTTGGAGGAATCACCCTCGATGGGTTCACACTTGAGGTTTTGCACGACAGAGCCGTTATCGGGACTGGTGAAGGAGGAATCACCCTCCGTATAGACCACGACCGATTAGCTACACTACAGTGATCTCATCAAAAGTGATATACGAGGTATCACCCTCGGCACTCGATAGTAGCTCTGCAGAGTTGTACAACTAAGGGGTGTGAGGTGATGTATCGGGCTCTAGATGTCGATCACGTTGATCGAGTCATCAAAGATAAAGCGGGGGAAACTGGGACAAGGTGAGGGGCCACTGATGGATCACCAACCAACCTATACTAAACATATAGGATAAGTAGGTACTTAACAATAGCAGGTTACAATATCAAGCTATGCATCAGAATAGGATCAATCAAATACGGCAGCAAATTCTAATGCAAGCATGAGAGAGAAGGAAATGAGCGATATATGAATGATCAAGGGGGTTTTGCTTGCCTAGAAGCTCTGCTGAGAAGGATGGATCGTTGACGACATAGTCGTACTCGGCGGCAACGTCAGTCTCGGAGTCTACCGGAGAGAAGAGAGGGAAGAAACGATAAATACAAAGCAAACAAAAGCAACATAAAGCATGAAATGTCAGTATGTTGTGCTAGGGGTGACCTAACGCAGTGCTACACGTTACAGACATAGTGGGAAAATTATCCGAAAATATTTTCCCGGCTCCAGGCATTTATCGGACAGACGAACCGAAGGAGAAGATTCAACATTTGCAGTGTTGGAGGTAGGTGGCAGGTATATGGATAGCATATTCGGATTCGTCATATTTTTCTGAGCAACTTTCATATATAAATTATTTTCATCCGAGTTACAAATTATTTTACATGATTTTTCAAAGTTTTATCAATATTATGAAATTACAGAATTATTAATAATTCAAAAAAGTTAAATGGATAAAGGTTAAATACACCCAGAAGTGTACGCACCAGAGGGGTTGATTGGTGGGCCAGGTCAACTGTCCAGTTAGTGGTTGACTGGTCAATTGGTCTAATAGGACCAAGCTTTCATTGACAGAGACTAGTCCAGTCAATAGTTTGACTTGGTCAAACTAGACAGGGGCCCACCTGTCATTGGGCCAGCTAACTAACAAGGGTTTTTAAAAATTATTTTGGGTTAGTATAGGGGCCCAGCTGTCATTGGCAGATTAGTGAGGGGGGGGGGATTAATTAGATTAGAAACTAATCTAAACCGACCGGGCCCTACAGGGCACTGGCCCAGCCGGGCACCACAGTGGGCTCGTGCCCATTCGCACGCACGCAACAGGGGGGCCGCCAGGTGTGGCCAGGGAGGCGTAGACGGCACCGACGACCAGAGACGGCCGGAGGCGACCGCGGCGAGGCAGCGACGGGCTCGGCTGCGAGCGGCGGGACGAGCAGTGGTAAAAGGAAGCCGCGATAGTGAACGGGGGCAGCAGCGAAGCAAGCGGGGTGAGCGGGAGCGTGAGCAGCGATGCGTGGGCGTAGGGCGACCACGATGCGGGGTGAGGGCAGGGGCGCGCTGGAGTGAGGTAGGCAGAGCAGGGTGTGGAGAGGGGTTAGCGGCTGCAAGCAGAGAAGTAGCTAGCGGCGGCAACGAGCAAGCAAGCAGAGTGGGTGGCCGTGGCAGTTGGCGGAGCTGCGCAAGCATGATAACCCACAAGTATAGGGGATCACAACAGTTTCCGAGGGTAGAGTATTCAACCCAAATTTATTGATTCAACACAAGGGGTGAAGGAAATATGCCCTAGAGGCAATAATAAAGTTGTTATTTTATATTTCCTTATTCATGATAAAGGTTTATTATTCATGCTAGACTTGTATTGATCGGAAACCTAAATACATGTATGAATACATAAACAAACACTGTGTCCCTAGTGAGCCTCTACTTGACTAGCTCGTTGATCAATGATGGTTAAGGTTTCCTAACCATGGACATGAGTTGTCATTTGATAACGGTATCACATCATTAGGAGAAAGATGTGATGGACAAGACCCATCCGTTAGCTTAGCATAATGATCGTTCAGTTTTGTTGCTATTGCTTTCTTCATGTCAAATACATATTCCTTCGACTATGAGATTATGCAACTCTCGGATACCGTAGGAATGCCTTATGTGCTATCAAACGTCACAACGTAACTGGATGATTATAAAGATGCTCTGCAAGTATCTCCGAAGGTGTTTGTTGGGTTGGCATAGGTCGAGATTAAGATTTGTCACTCCGAGTATCGGAGAGGTATCTCTAGGCCTCTCAGTAATACACATCATAAGCTTGCAAGCAAACGACTAAGGAGTTAGTCATGAGGTGATGTATTACGGAACGAGTAAAGAGACTTGCCGGTAACGAGATTGAACTAGGTATGAAGATACCGACGATCGAATCTCGGGCAAGTAACATATCGATAGACAAAGGGAATTATGTATGTTGTCATAAGGTTCGACCGATAAAGATCTTCATAGAATATGTAGGAGCCAATATGGGCATCCAAGTTCCGCTATTGGTTATTAACGAGAGAGGTGTCTCGGTCATGTCTACATAGTTCTCGAACCCATAGGGTCTGCACGCTTAACGTTCGTTGACAGTATAGTACTATATGAGTTATGTATGTTGGTGACTGAATGTTGTTCGGAGTCCCAGATGAGATCACAGACATGATGTGGAGCTCCGGAATGGTCCGAAGGTAAAGATTGATATATAGGATGACATGGTATTGCCAAGGGGTAAAGCCCATGGGGCTTTAGGTCGGTGCAAAAGGAGTTTTGCGGAGGCCAGGGGGCCAAACGCCGAGGCCCATGGCGTCTGGGCCAGACATTGATAACCTGCAAGTATATGGGATAGTTGTAGCCTCTTTCAATAAGTAAGAGTTTCGAACCCAACGAGGAGCTAAAGGTAGAACAAATAATCTCTCAAGTCCTATCGGGCACTGATACGACTCTACGCATGCTTGATGTTCTCTTTACCTAGAACAAGTATGAAACTAGAGGTACTTTGTAGGTGTGATAGGATAGGTCACGTAAATATAAACTAGGGGCTGTTTAGATAAAGATGCAATAAAGTAAATAAAGTGAGTGTGGAAAAGTGGTGGTAGGAGTTGTGAAAGTGTCCCTAAGCAATTGACTACGTTACTAGACCGATAGCAAGTTTTATGTGAGAGAGGCATAAGCTAACATACTTTCTCTTCTTGGATCATATGCACTTATGATTGGA